TGTGTGTGTGTGTGTGAGTGTGTGTGTATATATGTGCATATAAGCATGTGCAAGAAGAAGAAGAAAGAGAGAGAGAGAGAGAGAGAGAGAGAGAGAGGGAGAGAGAGAGAGAGAGAGAGAGAGAGAGAGAGAGAGAGAGAGAGAGAGAGAGAGAGAGAGAGAGAGAGAGAGAGTGGGGGGGGGGGGAGACATACAGATGTGTGACATACCAGACCCAAAAAAATATCACAACCCTGTAGCGTGCATAGTTCTTTTTTTCCTGCATGTAAAAGAAAAGTGTAAGGACATGCTTGCACTCAAAACAAGGAAAGAAGACAAACAGAAACAAAACAGGGACAGTACAGAAGCAGGAAATACTAGGTGTGCCCTTCAATAACTCGTATGCATAGACGAAATAAAGAAATCTTTTCTAATAACTTATATGGTATGCAAAAAGAAGCAGATATAACATAAAATTATACAAACTATGGATATAAAGCACAAATAAAACAGTACGGAAGTCAAGCATGCACGTAGCAAAATCTACAGGATGAATAAATCTTTTTGTTGTTTACAAATTTAGCTATGTGTGTGTTTTAAATACAAAGAATATACATGTAAATAAAACATTTGAGAACTGAAAATCTGTTCGCTGTGTACGTGGTTCCTGGAAGATCTGAGATTTTGAGTTCTGATTAGAAGTGACCTCTTGTGTAATTTTTATTTAATTCATCTCAAGATGGTTTAAAATTGCTCTTTCGCGCATTTTTCAATTGTCACATATGCCAAAATTGAGCTGTTTCCAATCATTTAAAATGTCTCTTTCCCATAAAAGACATTCTTGCTTTAATCCCAAGATATATGGTAACAAAATTGAAAGCCAACTGTGGGATATTATTACTATTATAACACAGTAAATTGTGAAAAACCTGGGCATTTTAAATAATCTGCAGGGCATGCTCATGTACAAATGCCTTAAGTTCTGAACTGTAAAAAAGCCAGTGGAGCTGAACAGGGAAGAGACCAAACAGCTTAATTTGTCACATTTTCCGTTCTGATTTATATATATTATATATATATTTTTTATTTGCTTTTCAAATTTACTAAATTTAACCATTTCTATATAGTAAAATTTAACATTCACAAAACAAACCCCCTCAAATAACATGGATGTCTTCTCAATTACAGCCTCATTTTTAAAGTCATACAGCATACACATTTTACTGCTACGTGGACCTAAGGTCCCAGTCAAACCATAAACTACAGGATAACTAGTAGAAAGTTCCCTTTTGGGACAAGGAACAGCAAATTTTGTTGGAAATTTGCCCGTTTCAGCATATAGTTGTCCAAAACAAAAGTTTGACAGTATAAATATAAATGTAATTGTTTAGCATCTTTATTGACACAATTTGGGTAATTTAGGAGGCAGGCGGGTTCAGCTTCGCCTGACAGGACGGGATACAGCATCATGGGAGAAATAAGGAGATTCTCAATAAAATAAACTGTCCCATGCTAAAATTGAACTCACCTCCCCTGAGAGCACCAGTTAGGAGCCCAATCATTTCACCACAGATATCAGTATTCAAAAGTTTGAAAAACTTAATAAAATCAATATTTTAAGCCAACTGCTTCACTTTTTGTTGCCCTGCCATGCTAAAAAAACGTGACAGGAACAGCGAGAGTAAAAAGCTTTCCACTTGCCAACCTCCAGCTTAATAAGCAGATTTGCAAAACCAAGTGACAATCCATAGTTCAGTGACCTTGCCTTCTCATGGTGCCACTCCCTCTCTCTCTCTCCTTTCACTTTAAATACTTTAATCTATTTAACAGATCAACAGAAACATTTTCTACTACATCCCAACAGCATATAAGATCACCAGGCACTACAATAAGGCAAAGCATAGCAATCATCATGAAAAGAAAGAAAGTGAACAAATTAAATATCAAGAGCAAGTATCACGGGCAACAGATGTACAAAGAAATGGATTTAAGCAGGTATAATTCTACCTGCTAGTCTGCATTTGACAACTGAAAAAAAGGAAGAATATATCTTGATCACAGCAAGAGTTTTAAATAAATTAATAATGTAACGGAAAATAAAGGGGGAAGGGGGGGAAGTGTATTGCAGTTGCACCAAAAGTAGTGGGGAGATAGCACATCAGACAGTTTGCACAACCTGCTATAGACCTTGTCAGATATAACCACATGTTGAAAAGGTCTTTGCAAAGAAGAGAAACACGAACCCAAACTTCACAAAAAGAAAATAGGCTTAGATTTTGGTCTTCGCTTATACTTATAGTTAAAAAAGCAACAGCCTTGACTACCACTGACTAATAACTTTGTTCACTCTCTTTGAGACCCACAAACACTTTTTTCTGTTCTTATATCCTACTGGGAAAACATATATTTATACTGATCAAACATTCAGGTAGACTTGATTAGGTTTGAATTTTCAGTAGTGAGCACGCAAATTCTACATTGCACCATAATGTAATCAAGTTGCTTTGTGATTTGAAATGTTAGACACTTCAGACTGAGTATATTAAATAACAAAGACAAACGAAAAGATTTTGAAGTAAATTCAAAGCACTTTGCACAAGCCTGCAACCACACATTATATGTATGAGTAAACACCTACAAACGGTCATGCGTTCTTATAGCTGAAAGGAAGTCATGGCTTGCCTGCATTAACTACCTTTTTGCTATTCTGAATAACATGCACAAGCAATATATTAAAGTTTCATGGTCTACAATCAAGCCCTTGAAATTAAAATATCACTTTTAATAAATCTCTTATTTCATCTGATAAACCACATACTGTGAATCACACAAGAGCAATATCAATGCATAACAAAGCTAATAAGGTATAACTTTCAATTAAACAACACAAATGTTCATTCAAAACAGTCACTTCCACTGTATCAGTGTTCGTTTGTTTCACATGATGTTTTAACAACAATCCAACATTATTCAACACATAAACATCAATATACCAACATTAAAACATCTAAATCTAAAACAGTCATTTTTTTCTAAGCTTGTTTCGTGATGGATAGCAACAAGGAGCACACACCAGTGACTCACAATATTATAGCAATCTGATATGATATCATTCAACACTAGCAACAAGTAGCACAAAAGAGTCACTCACAACACAGCAATCTGATTGACATCATCCAACACTCTAACAACGAGCTGAGCTCCTAGTCCAAACTACAGAAAGTGATATGATGTAACTAAACAACTGGCAATGTCAAAAAGCTACAACAGTGCTTGCCAACCTGGGCCATTTTTCCCACTAGTGTTTAGTTATAGTAGAGGTTTTACGGCGCTCGCAACGGCATATGGTCATATGAGCACCAAGGGGTGGATGTCAACAGAGAAGTCTTCACAAGGAATCAGGCTTACTCTGCTCACCTCTCTAGCTTCAGCAGCACAAGGTCTGCTTCGACTATCAAGGCACCCCGGAAATAGCGGGTCACAAAAGTGTGATAAATATACAAAAGAAGTAGAGGAAAAATGACGATAGTAAGGATTAGAAAAGAAAAAGCAGCAGTTCCCTGTTGCAGTGCAGGCACAGTTATGAGCATGACATTGTTGAATCAGCTCATTTACATTTCTACTGTTCTACTGTGCATAAGAACAAGTTAATGTCCCCCCTTTGGAAATGGCCTAAAGACACTTCAGTCAGTGGTACCTAAAGACACTTCAGTCAGTGGTACCGCCCCGGGGGGAGAATTTGAAAATTTTGATGGGTGGTGGGAATCACCCTTGCTGACATGCATGTGAGGCATCATGGTGAAATCAGGCCCTCGGCAAAATAATGAAATCGAAGAAACCGGCATTTTTCTTCCCGTTTGCAATTTTTGTTGAAATTTTTTTTGGACTCACCTTTCATGTCTATTATAAAAACACACTGCTATGTGGATTTTACTGGAGAACTTTGATTAAAGGCAAAGAAAAATGTAAATCTACAGTTTCCAAGGACTCTAAATCTTGGGAAGTCACCAAAGTTTGGCAGCCATTTTCTCACTAACTTTACCTCTGAAACAAGGCGACCTCCACCTCCTTTATTTGCAAATATAACCATTTCTGTTGAAGATAGATGGGTACTTTTGCACCAAAAGCAAGACAAGTAAACAAGCTTTAAGGTGATAACATTAACTCCATATACCCAAAAATAGACGAGCGCCTGATTCCACTGCATCGCGACACATATTATTTTATGCTGTGCTTGGAAATACATGTTGGTGGGTGGTAAGGAAATTTTAGCCTTTTTATAGCGGCAAAAGTGGGCACCGATTTAATATTGGTTGACAAGCATTGAGCTAAGAGAACACATACTATAACAATATTAAATCAGAAAAAAGAATCTGAAAGCAAATTTCATATTAAGTATAAAGCACACATTGCACAGATCATCTAACAGTGGTATATTACTGTTACGGAATTTGCTTCCAATAAGCAGATTAATAACCTAATAGGTATTCACTTTTCTTCTAACTCGTAGAAAACCCACATTCTGGTCATTCAAATCAACAAAGATTGAGCACACATTGTTTTTGGGCTCTTCATTATTCATACAAATTTTTTCAATTCGTATTTCATTATCCGAAACAAAAAAATCAGGCAACAACATCCGTACTATGAAATATCTAAATTTGTGTTCCCAATTTGTGTCTCAAATTTGAAATATGTCACAACATTGCCTTTGGTCTGCTCCTGATTGGACATATATGTGTTCACTACATCCTCAAAGACTTAAAGCTGAAAAAGAACTGATCTAGCTAGTGATTAGGAGTATTTGTTTTCCAAGTTAGACATGAATGTCTTAAGTAAGCAGGGTCTAAAAGAAATAAACACGGCACTGATTTTTTTCCAAGCTGATAAAAAAAATAATTGCCCGATCATTTCGTTTTAAAGTCCTTGGGCAACACAGATGCGTATAAAGAACTGTTGTTTGTAACGACTACTGCAACAAGCTAACCTTCATTATAAATTTCATACCGCTATCACAATAATTTCTTCTTTTTTAAAGGAAGGACACCCATGGTGTTGGGAGCCTTAAAATCTTCAATCACACTACGCTTAAAAACGCTAGTGCAGAGATTTGAAAAATATCTATTCTTCAGTCTGACAAAGCTTCATGGGTGCACAGAATACAGCTGGACAGAAGAACGTGAAACAGTACCAGGTTGTCACAGTAAGTAAATCAGACCTGACACATAAAACACAATTTCAGACTTCATATGATACAGTCATATGAGTATAACAAAAACATATTCAACAACGACAAAAAAGTTCACCCACAATTATCCCTGACAGCTCTTCCAAACATGATACTTTGCTTTGTGCTTTCTGTTTTAGATTTAGAAAGAGTTTTACTGCACTTGCGACACAAATAGGTCACATAAGTGTCAAACAAAGGTATTATTAGAGTAACATGCAAGGAAAAGAATGAGAAGCGATAAAGACGATAGATATTTGATAGGAAAGGAGGAGCAAACCACACTAGAACGCTTGCCAACCATTCACTCTTTCTATTTCACAGACTGTCAAATATTCTGTTACAAAACAGACATACTTTAAAGGAATTTAGAGAGCTGACAATATAGCTGTAAAATACTCAGTCTATTTGATACTTGATAAGCCAACAACTACTTTACAAACTGCACACAATCCAAAATGTTCTACAAATGCTAGTGGTATTCCTCCAACACATCCATCATCTTTTGACAGTACCTCCTTGGTACCGCGTGGTGAAACAGCATGAACATAACACCATGCCAACACCTCTAGCCAGCCCCCCTCCCACACGCGTCCTTCCAAGTCCAACAAAAAACAAGCGAAATAACATTATCAACAGTAGTGGTATGCTGTCACAACCAGCAGTCATATGTAGGCACATCATTTGTTAAAACTGTTCAATCAAAAACACCCAGATTTTTCATTAATGACTTCAATAAAAAACAACCAGACTTTTTGCTAATGACTTCATTCAAAAACACCCAGATTTGTTTCAACGACTTCCCACTAATCGAGCAGTGAACAGCTCCCATTTTCTGCCAGCAGCCTCCGTACAAAGACAGAAAGTATGAAGCAATAGCTGCACAGCCTCACATCAAAAGCATGACAAAAAATATAAAATTTCACATATACCCATAAAACAGACAAGTAAGTGGTGATTTCAGGCTGCATGCAGTGACAAAGTCAACACGGATTGACCTTCCCAGCGTTTCTTTTCATTGTTGTCATCCACAATTGAAAAAGTTTTTGTCCGACCCATCAGTGGTCAGCCTCAGAGTTCAGGAGACTTGAATGGTCAGTGTTAGGCAGGAGCACCTTGAACAGGCTGCGTAGCCTTTGTACTGAATCAGACAGGCCCAGGTCTGGATTGGCTCTTTGAGTCCACACCTCCCGAAACTGTTTCATCAGTTCTAGCAGTCTGAGGAAAGAATAACTGAGCTTTGGTATAGCCGTACTATGCCTGTTATTGGGTTTGGTCAAATCAACTGACAATAAAACAGAAGAAAAAAGGTAAACTAATGAATACCTGAACAAAATTTCTGTTGATATACTGTTTGAATTTGAAGAGTTTGTTGTATGTGA